TTTAAAAGCGAAGCTGCCCCCCTCTGTCTTCACACCTCCCCCATTTAGGACCAGATGCTAACTGCGTTATTTTTTTTTTAGCTACTGCACCGCCCTCTTCCCAAGAATCCCAGGGACGAATGAAGGCCCCTCCCCTGAGCAGCCTGACCACCTTCTGCAGCCTCCCCCAGCTGCAGCTTGCTCCAGAGAACCTCTCCAGCCCATTGTCTCTGTGCTCAAAAATAATAGCTAATGGCATTTGCGTGTTTGCTGCAACACTGACCTTGTGCTGAGAGCTTTACGTGCAAGCATTCAGTTACCCGTCGTGGCAGTGTTATGAGGGTGGGCACTATTTTCCAGGCGAGGACACTGAGGCTTCACAAGGTCAGGTAACTAGCCAAAGTCATATGCCAAAGGGCAGTACAGACATCAGGGCTCATCACCGCCTGTCGCCCCACCTCCCCGTGACCCAAGGGGCACCTTTTACCAACATCAGATAGGCCAGTTTGGCCTCTGGAATTGGAACCTTGCCCTGGCCCATCCCAGCTCCAGACCTTGCCCACAGCTAGTCTCCCGGCTTCCAGAGCTTCTGGTTTCCAGGTGTAACAAAGGGTTTGTTGTGGCAATCTGAGCAGAATGAATGTCACTGTGAAAGCCATCACAGGTGTGACAAAGCTGACTGCCAGGGCTGACAATAGAGTGAGGAGGCTGTAGCTCTATTACTGTGGATGCACTGGGGACATTGCCCTTCAATGGCAGTGACACACAGCCCTGAGGAGATGGAGTGTAACAAGGCAGTTTGTGTGAGTGGGCTGACCTTGCATAAGGCGGGGAAGGCTGCCTCGGATGGACCCGCAGAAGGTGCGGATCGCAGATGAGCGCACTGACCCACTCACCAAATTTCGGGCTCTCTGGAATAGTTGCATAAGGAAGACCCCACATTCTTGGATTAGGTTTAAGAATAAAAACCTGGGCTGGGGGGGGCAGGGCACCTGGGGGAGAGAGGAAAGGGGTCTGGGATGAGAGTTGGGCAGCTGGAGGCACAGCATGAGCTCCGAAGCCAACCAGACCTGTGTTCAATGACCAACTCTGCCACTCATTTGCTGCATGACCTTGGTTGAGTCATTTCATCTATCTGAACCCCATTCTCTTCATCTGTAAAAATGTCCACTTCTTCCTGGGACAGTGCCTGGTACATGGAATCAGCCCATAATGGGAGAACGGGAGAATAAGTGGATAGATTTCAAGCCCTTTCACATCAGCAGCCGGTCTTGTCTGTGCTCTGATGTCAGCCAAGTGCCATCTCCACACACATGAAGGACGCCCCTTAAATACTTGTTAGGTGAATGAATGAATGAGTGAGTGGTGAGGGGTCCCACCAGAAGTCAGCTTCCTTTACCATTCCTCTCAGTAACCATTTCAAATTCTCCCCTGTCCCCCATTTCACCTCCCCCACCAACCCTCCCCATCGCCCCTTCTCAGCCTCCACAGCCACGGGGAAGGAGCTCCCTCATTTTCCTGTCTCCCCACACCCTTCACTCACAGAGTACCTTTCAGGTCCAAGATGGGCCTCACCAGCCACTTCCTGGTTCCCTTCTCCGCGCCCCTCATCCGTCATCTTACCTCTGCTGGCTCTGCATTTTCTAGAAATAACCACGGTCAACTCTTTCCCATCTAAGAGAACAGCACCAAACTGCCCTTTTCACATCCCCTCTAGTCACCATTCTCTGTTCCTTCACAGCCAAGCACCCCGAAAGAGCTCACCTACCCCCCACCCCGTCCTCCCATTTTCATGTCAGTTCTTCCTGTTCTCACTTCTCTCTTCTGTCCCAGCTCTTCCCAGAAGGGCTCCAATCAAGGTCACTGGTGACCTTCTCCTTGTCAAAGAGAAGGGACTCTGCTTTCTTATCTTTCCCGGCCCCTCGGATGGCCCCCGGACGCTCTCCTCCATCAGTTTCCGCCCCCCCCCTCCTCTCCGACCGACCATTCCTTCTCAGCCTTCCTGGTCACACCTCTTCCTCCAGCCTCTCTCCGTGCCCATCTGCCCCGCACTTCTCCTCCCTCGCTCTTCCCTGCATGCAGGCCCAAGGCTTTAACCTACTGCCCGGATGCTGACAATTTCCTGCCCTCTGCCTGGGATCACTTTTTCCCAAGCCCTAGACTTACGTGGTAATGTGAACATTCCACAGGTGACTCAGGTGCAAGGGAATTCTTCTCTCCAAACCTGCTCTTCCTCCTGCATCCCTCCCTGTCTTGGTGAACGCAGGCCTTCAAGTCAGACACTAAAGGTCATCCCAGCCTCCACCCCGTCTCTTGCGCCCACAGCCAGTTCAATCTGATGTCAAAGCCTGTTGACGGTTCCTTCTAATTACTTCCAGAATCCGTCTCATCCTTACTATACTCCCTGCAGAGCCCAGCACAGGAAAATCTGATCATTTCACTCCCCAGCTCACGAACATTCAGTGGTTCCCCATCACTTTTGGGATAAAGTGTTCTTTCTTTAGAAAAGGCCATACTTTTCTTTCTTTTTAAAGAAGAGTTTGTTTGTTTATTTTTAGAGAGAGAGGAAGGGAAGGAGAGAGAGGGAGAGAAACATCGATGTGTGGTTACTTCTTACATGCCCCACAGTGGGGACCTGGCCTGCAACCCAGGCATGTGCCCTGACTGGGAATCGAATTGGCAACCCTTTGGTTCGAAGCCTGCACTCAATCCACTGAGCCACACCGGCCAGGGCTAGAAAGGGCCATACTTTTCATCAGGGTCAGAGCAAGGCGGAGCAAACTGGGGGTCTAGTTGAAGGAGGTGCTCATTCTCGGGGCTGTATAAGTGCTTCCTTAGCTTTCACACCTTTGGCACCCACTTGCCTCACTGCAGTCCTGGCCCAGCTTTTCACAGCTCTATGCTTTTGCACTTGACATTCTCTCCAACCCCAACACTCTTATCTTTTCTCTACTGGACCAGCTCCACTGAGTGGCCTACCTGACCCATCAAGTCTGAATTCCATGATGTCCTCTTGCGTCCCCTTCACATCCTATACATCCCTCCAGCCGCTGGCCCTGACGGCTGGTTTACTCCCAGCCTCCACCAGGCTGGGTCCTTTTAGGGAAGTTTGTTAAATGACTCATAGAATCAATGAATCAATTGGAAAGGATGAGTGTGAAAAATTATTGTTAGTGACAATAATAATGATAATAGTAATAATAATAGCAGCAGCTTGGGCCCAGAGAACCCAGCCTTTAATGGCCTTGCTATGATGGCCTGCATGTTCTAGCAGTTAAAACTGATGTCCAGCCACGGGCGATGAAGTCCCCATCAAGTGGTCAAGATGCGGAAGGAAGTGGAATAGAGGATGAGGCCTAATGGCCAGTTCTGAGGTTCTGTAATTCAGTCTGGTTCTGTCCAGCTTTTCCTCTGGTGGACGGCTGGCGTGGGCACCGTGCCCCCACCGTGCCCCCGCCTCTGAGTGTGGAAGTATCGTGCTCTCATGTTAAAGTCCAAATGCCTCAGCAAGGGCTCGAGGCCCCTCCGGATCTGACCCCTGAGCACCATCCAGGCTCAGCACCGCGTCCTTGCCCTCTTACCTTCAGGCTGCTCTGAACTGTTGGACTTTCCTTGACGTTTACTTGCTCTCTCTCACCATGGAGGCCTTTGCCCAGGCTGTTCCCTCCTTCAGGAATGTTCGTCTCCTCTCTCCCGCCTCCTCCCCCTAGTCCTGCTTGTCCCCTCCTCCAGGAAGCCCTTCCTCTGCTCAGGTGTGGAAGAGGCACCCTCTGCTGCGCGGGGACAGCGCTCCTGCCCAGCCCTGAGCACACTGCACTGATACTGCCTCTGCACACACAACTCGTCTTTCTCGGGGTCACTGCGTGCTGGGCCCCGTTCTCAGCGAGCACCTTTTATAATTTACCTTGCTGAGTCCTCACCACGGCCTCATCTGTTGGGTGTGAGTTTATCCTCATTTTACAGATGGAGAAATGGGGGGCCCAGAGAGTTTCAGGTTACAGCGTCTTAGTTTCCGCTGCTGCATAACAAGTTACCACAAACGTGACAATGAAAAACGGCCCATGAGTGATCTCAGGTTCCAGGGCTTGGAGCCTGGGGGCTGGGTGCTGGGCTCAGGCTGTCCCGAGGCTGCAGCCCAGCCGTTGGCTGGGCTGGGGTCTCATCTGCATGTAGGGTCCTCTTCCAAGCTTGTTCAGGTGCTGGCAGCTCCTGGAGGTGGCCTGTCTCCATGGAGTCCACAGCATGGCTGTTTGCTTCTGCAAGGCCAGCAGGAGCCCCTTTCTTCTGAAACAGCCCTGTCCTTTGGGGGGGCTTTCACCTGATTAAGTCAGGCCCACCAGGTTGATCTCTCTTTTGATGAACCAACTGATTTGGGATCTTAAATCGCAAAAGCTCTTTACTTTTGCCAAAAGAGGTCCTCTAATCACAGGAAGGACATTCCCTCCTAGTCACAAGTCCCCTCCACACTCTAGGGACGGGGATGAAACAGGGCGTGCATGCCAAGGGCAGGAATCGTGGAGGCCAAGCTAGGAGCACGCCTAACCACACCGTGAGCAGGTGGAAGCTTCAGGAGGCAAACGCAGCTCTTCTGACCCAGAAGTCTGCGCCTAGAATCCCACAGAGGCACAGAATACAAGAAGGAAGCACATGGCGGGTCTTAAAGGAGCCCATGCAGGAACTGCACGCAGGGTGCCTGGCCCAGTGCCTGGCCCACGGGAGGCCCCCACACTGGCACTTTCCATCTCTCAAGGCCAGCTTGGTGGCTGGTACGCCTCTCTGCTTCTCTGCTCAGCAGCGGGCATGGCTGGTCCCTGGCGGCAGGGCGACTGCAACAGAATTCTTTGACCTTCTAGTTTGAATTCTGCGTCTGGCTGGAAGAGGGAACCCAGTAGACGTGGCCTTCCCAACACGCCATCCCCCGGTCAACCTCGTCAGAGTTTGCCTTCTCGGTCCCCCATTCCTCAGTCCTACCCACCCCTCCCGGCAATGAAGCAGGACACAGAGCCAGGAATTGATGCTGAATCTTTTTTTTTTTTTAACTTTTGCCTTCTTAAAGCATATGCCGAGCAGATAGATGAAGCAATTTGGCAATTAAAAAGGCCCAGTGGCTTGGGCAGCGGCAGGGGGAGGCCAGGTGAGGTGTGTGGGGAGGGGACCCTCTTCCTGGCCAGGGAACAGCAAAGCCCGCACTAACTTCATAAAATATAAAATGAGGGAGGGGCAAAGGTAGGAGGGAGACTTGTAAAATACAATATCTTAGGGGATGGGCAATAATAAAAAATAAGGTTCATTATTTACAAACAATTTCTGTTCTTGGTCTCTGTACAGTGGGGGTGAGGGGGCGTCTGTGTGTGTCGGTGTGTTGATGTGTACGTCTGTGGGGGACCGGGGGGCAGGGAGGGCAGTGGTCGTGTTGGTCAGAATGAGAGAGGAGGGGGCAGCCCAGTGAGTGGTTTGTCTGAGGACGGATGGTTGTGGGAGGGAGGCTGAGACCGGAGTGGTTGGCCCAAGGGAACAGTCCAAATGGGGGGGGCAAGGCCCCCAGTCAAGATCTGGGGCGAAGAAGGGCTGGGGAGAAGTGGAACCCTTTCTGAGTCCCCACCACTCCTGAGGTGGGACTCCAGGGGCAGGGGTACGAGCCGGATCCGGGTTAGTGAGCAAGACGACCCCTCGTCGGGGTGCTGGGGGTACGTCCTGGTCCTGGGTCTGACATGGCCTAGGCGAGCTTGATGGTGGTGTTTGGGCCCAGATCCCTGCAGAGAGAAGAACAACCAGAGGTGACTCTGCCCAGTGAGGACCTTCTCACCACTCCACAGGAGGGACAGGAGGGACAGGGCCTTGGGAAGGTGTGGCTGACGCGGGCACCAGGGGTGGGCAGAAGGCAGGCGGAGTCTGGGACCCCAGCAAGCGAAGGGGCCACCCACCCACCTCTCGTGGAACCACTCCTTGGGGTGGGAGAAGTTGGGGCTGCTGCCGTTTCCGCCGACGTCTTTTGGCCAGGCCTCGCTCAGGTACTTTGTGGTCTCGTGGGTGCTGTCCAGGTGGTCATGCTGTAGGTGGTCTTGGGGTCGCTGCTCCGCTGGCCCCCCGGGCTTGATTTCCCAGCCATCCGGGGGCTCCACAGGCAGCAGGGCGCTGCGGCCATCCTCCCAAGAGCCTGTCCCCTCATCGTAGAACAGGAGGCTTCGGGAGGGCACTGGAGAGGGAGCTTGGGGTGAGGCCGGGTGCCAACAGGCTCCCTGCCCGTCCCAGCCACAGTCGTGGCCTGGTCGTTACAGACACGAGCCTTGGAGTGGTAAAGGCCTGGATGTGAATCCGGCCCTAACAATGCTGAGCTGTGTGACCGCAGGCGAGTCACGCCTTTGCTTTAACCTTCCTGAGCCTAAGTTTGTTCACCTGTAAAATAGGAATACTAGGACGAACTTCATGTGGATCTGAGCTTTAAATGAGATAATACAGAGGAAGCGATTGAAACTGTGTTTTGTAAGCACTCAGAAAAGGTAGATCTTTCTAAACAGAGGGTACCTACCGGGCTGGGGCATTGGAGAGCTGGGTTTGAATCCTACTTCTAACACTTAATTTCTGTGAGACCTTGGATAAATCTCTTCTCCATTCTGGGCCCTAGAGTACCCTTCAGGGAAATGAAGGGAAAGAAAACCCCCACATTGTGCAAAGCTCTTTGGCCCATATCAAAATTGACATCTCACAGGAACTCAGGAGCCAGATAATGTTGGCCCCGCTTCACAGAACAGGCCATGGAGGTTCCAGGTTATCAGGTTCGCTGCCCCAGGCTAGTTCGAGCTGAGCTAAGAGGCAAACACACCAGGACCCACCACCACCCTTCAGGCTCACACAGCCCAACCAATGCGAAGGGTGCCCCCTGGAACCGTGCCGTGCACCAGCTCTGTAGGCCAGCCTGCTCCCAAAGCATCCCCTACCCCCCGCTGTGTGGACACTGGGTCTGTAACCACTGCGCTCACGAGAGGGGCTCATTCCTCCTCTGGCCTCCTCCGGTCTCCTCGGACTCTGGCTTCGTTCGTCAACACTGACACCCCTGCCCCCGACTTCATTCCCTCCTCTGCTCAGTCTTCTTCTATGTCAAATACACAAGGGCCTCCCTGGCCTCGGAAAAACGTGGTTCTCAAGACCTTGCATCCCCTTAGTCACTGTCCTGTTCTCTTCTTCTCAGGCTGCACGCGCCCAGGGACGGGTTCTCACTCCCCGCCTCCTCTTCCCCTAACAATCCCCTCAGCCAACCGGCCAACCGGCCAACTGGCCAGCCGGCCAGCCGCTTCCTCCCCTTGCGGCCCTGCAGGCCCGGGTCACCCTCCCTGCAGCAGTTCTACTGGAAACTCACTCCCCCCATCCCCTAGCTCTCTGTTGGCCCCCTGGTTCCTTCCTCCTGCCCTGCCAGATGAGGAAGCATCGTTGGGAAGTTCCTCTGCAGGGCCACCCACAGTATCTTCTGCCTCTGGAAATCCACACTACTGCTGCTGTGCCCTGGACGATCTCCCCTTGCCACCGCGTGGTGTACATGTCTTGAGAGCTTGTGCACACCATGTCATCGAATCTTTATGGTGCCCACGCTCAGTACGTGCAGGACCGTAACTCCCATCTCCAGATGAAGGGATGGAAGCCTAGAGAGCTTACACACAGGCCCAAGGTCATGCAGTTAGCGAGTGGCAGAGGCAGGTACGACAGACTCTGAGGTGCATGCTCTCAACCACTGTCCCTCACGGTCCCCCATGGGAGGGTAACTGTCTGAGCCCACACCACCGCTGCCCCCTCTGCTGCCCACGGCAGATGTCAGCAGGGGCCTCTGGCACTCCCTCCTATTCGTCCTGAGTGGTGCCTTAGCCTCCTTCTCGGCAAGTGCTTCAGGCAGCCACCACCATCTTGTTGGAACTGACTTTTGAGCTGAAACTAACTTGCTGTCCCACTTGGGAAATACAGATGGCGCTTAGCAGAGGCCCCATAACCGCTGGCACCATAACACATGGGGGCGAAGGTAGGAACATTCCTGTTGTCCCCTCAACTATCCCCTGGCCACTTCTGGGAGGGCTGGGACTCAGGGGATCTGCCCTGTAGCCCCAATTCCACAAATAAAATAGATGCTTCTTGAGCCTCAGTTTCCCCATCTGCAAAATGAGCAGGTAGAATGAGATAAGGCCACCCCAGAAGTTGGCTCCTCCCTTGGGTCTGGCTTCTGCCTGGGTCAGGGCACTCACTCTGACTGGCTGCGTAGACGCTGTCAGTGGCCACGGGATCTTCCTTCACAGTCTGGGAGCCAGAGGAGAACTCGGGGAGGCAGGGCACGAGGGAGCCGAGCACCAGAACGAAGCACAGGACTGCCACCTGGTAGTGGGGGGAGACTGGCAGTCAGATCCCAGGTAGGGAGGGGCTGCAACCCTGGCCTCTCCCAAGCCTCCTCCCTCAAAACCAGTGGGTGCAAAAGGTACAGTATTTTTGTAAGAAAGCAGCTCCCAGAGCCAACCACTCACTAGATGCGGGGTATCCCACCCTCTCTGGGGAAGGGGGGGGAGGCTGCTCCAGCCACCTCGGACCCTTGTAGGGAGGCCACCACAGGCAGTGCTGGCCAGAAGAGAGAAGGGGCCTTATTACCTACAGGAGGGAGGAATCGGTTAAGGAAGAAAGGGGGAGTTGTGGGGGGGGGTTGGGGCCGGGACAAGGGAGGGACACAGCATCACACCAGATTCTCTGCAGGGGGAGCTAAGAGTCACAAGGCCCATCTAACCCCTGCCCACACACGGCTCGGCCCCCAGCAGCGTAGGTGGGACGTCTGAGGGCCCAGGGAGTACACAGGCCAGACATTTCCAGGAGAGCGTAGAAGAGGGACTAGCAGAGGCCTGAGTCACGCCCTGGGCATTCTTGTGTTTTCAGAGCTTTGGTTGGCTTTCTCTCCACCATTTATTGCAGAAAGAACCAAGTCCATATATCCCTGTGTCTGCCCAAGCCTTTCGCCCCACAGAGAGTGGAAGCAGCCCCTCAAAGGACTTGCCCTGCCATTCCCTAGCTGGGTTCACGTGAGTCACTCCCCAGCACACTCTGTTAGAACCCGGTCAGAGAAGGCCATGTTCTAGAAGGTTCCTTGGGCTTGGTGCAAGAGGCCAGGATTTGCTGGAGCCAGGCCACTAGGCACTAGGATGGTGTACCCCAGTGGCATTGCCCCAAATATTGCCCATCCTTCAAAGGTCTGCCCACCGCCCTAGAAAGCCAGCCTGGGGACAACGTGTCCTCCTGCGGCCCTGGGCCGCAGGCCCTGGGGGACACCTACCATGAGGCAGGTCCCGGTCTGGGTGGCAGCCATCTTGTAAGGTCTGGAGATCTTGTTGGTGACCAGAGTCTGGAGTTTCTGCAGCTGCTGCAGCAGGGTCCTGAGGAGGGCACAGTGGTCACCTGGCGGCTCTGACCCAGCAGGCACCTCTGCCTCCTGGAGCTTTCCAGGGCAGCACCTGGGCTGGCTGCCGACTTGGCTTCCACACCAGGTGCCCATTGAATCAAGACAGATAAGGACGCCCCCCGCTTGGCTCCTCTGTGGTGTGGCTCAGAACCTGGGGCCACCCAGTGGGAGCTCGGGACACCCTGTGATGCTCCTGGCCAAAGCCGGGGGGGCGGGGGCTGGAGGAAGGCCTGTCCCGCCTGGACTGGGGTCACCTTTTTCTTGCCCCCAGAAGCCACAGCTAAATTGACCTTCCTCCTTTCTGCCCACAATAGCCTGAGCAGAGAAGGACGTGTCTGTCTGGCACATAGCGAGTGTCCAATACATGGCAGCTACCATTTCTGTTAATTTTGTTGCTGTTTTTGCATTTGTCACAGCACCTGTAACACTTCCTTTATTTATGGCTTTCCGTGTCAGTCTCCTCAGCTCACTGTGGGCTCCCTGAATAAGGACTGGGTCCCACCTGCCATGGTCTCCGGTGGGCACACACAGGAGGTACTCAGCCTATGCTCCATGAGCAAGCTTTTAATCGTCTCCTTCCTCCCCCCCACCAGATGGAGGGAGTTGCAGTGCCCATAATGCACAGCAGGTGGCGAAATAGCTCCAAGAGCCTGACCAAATTTGGGGGCAGAGAGGAATCTGAGCCCCACTGAGGTAGAGGGGTGAGAGTTCCTGGCTCTGGGGCATTTCCCAGGCCAATCAGGGGAGTAGCTGGATCCCACTGGAGAAGCTGGGGGAGAAGGAAGGAAAGAAGGAAAGAGTCTTCTGTTGAGCACCAGCTACATACCAGCCGCTGTCTATTTATTTTAATTAATCCCAGCAAACAATCATTAAAGACCTACTGTGGACTCATGGCCGGGCACTATCAAGAATTCAGAATTACAACAATAAATAAAGAAAAACATGAATTGAGCATCTTTAAATGCCAAGCACAGTGCTGGGCCCTTTAGTTGCACTGTCTCATCGAATCTTTCATGAATTCTGCGGTCGCCGTTTAGACGAAGAAGCCGGGTCCGATGTCTAAAAGGGCAGAGTAGAATACGCATCCGGAGCTGTGACTTTTTCAGCTACTTCATGCCAGGCGCTGTGGCTACACTAATGCTTCTCAGACTTCACTGTGCGTGTGAATCACCCAAGGATCTTGTCAACATGCAGATTCTGACTCAGGTAAGCCTGGGGAGAGTCCTGAGATTCTGCATTTCTTAGAAGCCCCCAGTGTTACTGATGCTGTTTGTCCAAGGAGCTCACTTCGAGTGGCAAGTGTCTACGCTAGTGGTTCGGACTCTGGGCTGCCTTGGAATTAGCTGGAGGGCTAATTAAAACAGATTTCTGAGCCCTCTGCCTGGAGTTCCTGTCTCAGCAGCCCTGGCGTGAGGCCGGGGAATAAGTATTTCCAACAAGTTTCTGGGGGAGGCTGCCACTGGTGGCCTGAGGGCCACGCTTTGAAACCACCACTCTGCACCATCTCACCAAAGCTTCTCACCTGCCCTGCCAGGTGTCCAGAGCTGTGTGTGGATGAAGAAGGTGGGGGTCCTAAGCTGCAGGGTTCTTGTTTCTGGGGTTCATCCTGAACTCGGTCACCTCACCTCTCTCCTGCCTGTGCTCCAGAGCCATGCCAGAGCCAGGCACTGGCTGCAAAAGGCAGGGCAGGGCAGGATGCAGGGGCAGCACCCACCTGTTGGCATTCTCCAGGGTCTCCACCTTCTTCCACAGTTCGTTGTTCTCTGACGTGAATGTCTCCACCCTGTGGGGGCCAAGAGGCACAGGCTCAGGGGCGGCCCCCAGATTAGCTGCTGCCCTCTCAGTCCTGCCCCTGGAACCCCGGGGAGAGAGGCCTGGGGAGAGCAGAACAGGCTGGGGAGCAGGGCCCGGGCCTCACGCCCCCAGGACTCTTACTTTTTTTCTAGACACTCCACGTATTCCTTCTTCTTACGGCGGCTCTCCTGGGCTGAGATCTAGAGGGAGAAGCCCCCCGAACAGGGGTTACCATGGCCACATAGCCACTTCCTGGGGCCCCCCGCCAACCACCAAGGCCCCCACCCACCAAGGCCCCCACCCACCAAGGCAAGCCCCAGGGCAGAGCCGGGATCGGCTCTTGCTTTACCTTGTTCTTGATTTTCCTGCGGACCCTTTTCAAGGCCTTCTCCTCAGCTTTGGTGAGGGGGAGTTTCGTGGGGATGGGGTAGCCCTCAGCAATCAGGGTGCGCTTCTCCTCCTCTGTCAGGAGCAGTGGCCCTGAAGTCCCCTGTAATTTCTGTGGGAAATAGGACATGATGGTTAGGAACCAGACAGCCCTGGGTTCAAATTCAAACTCTGCCATTTATTCTGTGCGTGATCCAGGCAAAGCACTCAATTCTCTGAGCCTCAGTTTCCTCATCAGAAAAAGGGGTAGATCTGAATTAAATCCAACAGCGTGTATCAAGTGCTTAGGGTGATGCTGGGAGCCCAGCATATTAGGAACTTGGTGCACTGTTGGGGGGCTTCCTAGACCCCACCCTGAAATTCATAGCCTCAAAACCCATGTGTCCAGGGCCCCTAAATGGCGGCCCCCTCCCATCCCTACAGTCTTGACTGGGAAGGCCCCCCACCCGCCCCGGGGCCCAGGGCCTAGCTCCAGTCTCCTGGGGACTCTGGGCCTCCTGAGCACACTCCCCAAGCAGCGCTCCTTAGAGGCAGCTGGGGCCGTCCCCTGGGCGTCAGGAATGCCAAGTTCTAGTCCCAGCTCTGCAACTGTGTGGGTTCGGCAGGCCTCTGGGCCCTCTCTACCTATTTTCTACTCCCCGTGAGGCAGGGCGAGAAGATTCTCATCACTGTCTTCCGGAAGGCACCTCCCTGAATTCTGATGGGGGCGGGGGTCAGGCATGGGGTTCCCCAGGTCCTTCCCCACTGGTCGTGTGCCAGAGTGGGTGTACCCAAAAATTTCCCCCGAACCACCCCCAGCTGCTTACATGCGGGGCTGTGAGGAGGGGAGAGGTGGAGATGGCCGTGGAGGAGCGGGCCATGGGCCGGACAGGGCTGGAGGGGGGCAGAGAGCGGGGGCTCTGGGAGCCGTCACTGTCACTTCCATGGCTGCTGGGGGGCGTTGGAGGCATCTGCACCAGGTCCTCTGGGGAGAGGCGGGGGAGCCGGGTTAGCAGGGCTGCCTCGGGGCTCAGCAGAGCCTGGGCCCAGCCAGCCCTGACGTCGTGGTCAAGACTGCTGGGGCCTTGACCAGCCGCAGCAGCAAAGGCCCCCATTGGTGTCTGAAAGGTGGGAGCTGACACCCCAGAAGCTGATTCCTGGGTGCCACCTCATCTCCGACACTCGAGGTCTGGCTCTTCTGAGTCTGACCCTGGGTGTGCGTAGCTGTCACGGAGAATAACTTCTTGGAGGCCCTCCCCCATCCCTGACTTCACAGGGTCCAAGGTCTTTGAGCCTCCAGCTGGGCGACCCCAGGAGGAGACTGGAGTCCGCCTGCAGCCAGGCCCCTGGGCAGCATTGCCTGGCAGGAGCAGCCTCTGTCCTTTCCCTCCTTCCAGCCCAAAATGTTTAGCCATAACTACCCCGGGTTTCCACTTCTGACTTCAGGCTATGGGCTTTCAGTGGAGTAGCCTGGGGCACTGCTCTTGCCAGCCTCCCCTCCGTGCTGCCCCTCTGTGGCCACAGCACCGGGAAGTCTGACACGGGGCAGGAGGTCAGGAGGGGGCCTGGGTGGCGCTCAGCTGCAGGGAGAGCCCCCAGGGCTGCACAGAATGCCCAGATTTACGGGTGGGTGGGTGGATGGATGGACAGATGGATAGATGAGTGAATGGCAACAGAGTGAACTTCACTGAGTGAATGATGGGGGATTAGCAAAGAGGGCAAGCGGGTATTGACCGTAGTGGTGACAGTCAGAGGTTGGGTGAGAAGGGGCCTGGAGGGAGGAAGGGGGGCAAGCAGCGGGGAGAGGATGTGCTGGAGAGAGGTGGGTTGTGGAGGGAGCTGGGCGTTCTGGACCAAGGTAGCAGGGATGCCTGCCTCAGACTGGAGGGGAAGAGCCCCTCTCTGGACACACTCACCTGGTGTCACTTTGAGGAACTGGTTCACCTCCTGGGGCTCTGCTTTGATCACTGGCAGCTGAGTCATCTCTGCTGGGGCCTGAGGAAGAGACAGGTCCAGCTCCATCAGCTGCCCCGGGGCTGTTCCCACCATGCCGGCCACCCCGTCTCCTTCCAGGAGGCTGGTGGCCCATCCTGCTCAGTAGGGGCAGTGACTAGGCTCGGAGTTCTGGGCAGGGCCTGGAGGGAGCTGAGGGAAACGAATGGCGTAGCTCAGAGAAGGGCGGCTTCTTGTGGCCTTTGAGGCCAGTGCCATCTCCTCAGCAGAGGCTGACCCTGCACCGACTGTGAAGGCCACGTAGGCCCTGGTGAGTGGGTTGCCATGAGAACGAGAAGCGGTGTTTGCCACGTTGTAGTTGTAGCTGTTCAATGACTGGTATCAAAAGCACAGAGGAAGGAGGCATTAACGGGCTGGTGGCTGAGAACACTCCCTGAGCAGCTGAAGTTTGAACTAAGTTCCAAGGGATACACAGGAATATTGTAGATAAAGGAGAGGGCAGGCGGTGAGTGAGCGGAAAGGCATTCCAACCATAGGGAAGAGCATCTGCAAAGGCACAGAGGCTGGATCTGGAAACTGCAGGAATTCAGGGTGCTCAGAACGTAGGGATGTGTGGTGGGGTGGCGGAGTAGGAAGCAAGACCAGAAGATCAAGGTGGGAGTGAAATCCAGGCAAAGAAGTTTGAAGCAGCAAGGAGCCCCCAATGGCTTTCAAGCAAGGGACTGACAGAATTCGATTCACACTTTAAACAACATGCAGTCCTGTCTCTTTATATTCCGCCTTGCTGTTTCAGAAAGGGTTTCAGGACACACGTGTGGCTTCCCACCAACACGCACGCCAGCGGCGTTATCTTTGAGGAAGGCACTGTGTTGGGTGCTGGGTCGCAGGACTGTCTCTGCCCTCAGGGTCTGCGGCTGCTACAGGCAGGTCATGACATTGTGGGTGGGACAAGGAATCCCAAATTAGGCAGATGAGTAACAATCACAGAAGGTTCAAGTTGGTAGGGACCTGGGAGGTTCCCTGGTCTACGTCCCATTTCAGCCCTCAAATCACACGAGGGGACTGCGATGCAGAAGGGTGATGGCACTTGTGGGGGTCACACGGCTCACTATGGACGGACCATGCCAGCTCCTGGCTCCCGTGCCACCGCTCAGGTGTGCAGGCCTCTCTGGGGTGACGGTAGGGCTTTGGAGTCCAGTGGCCGAGCCTGGGGTGCAGCTCCCTTGTTCGGGACTGTGTGAGGTGGGGCAAGTTGCCTAATCTCTTGAGCCCCGATTTCCTTCCCGGAGGCGCGTACCCGGCCTCCAAGGCCCAGGCCGCTGCTGCTGTGCTGCCCTCCCTTCCCGCCTCAGTGAGGCCCGAGGGCTTGCCGAGCCGGTCTTGGGTCGGGTCACAGGAGACCCTCCACATGCGTAGCCAACCCTGGATCCTTGGGGACGGTGGTGGGTACGGAGGGGTTGGCAGGGGCTGACAGGCCAGCTGGTGGCCACACTCTAATCAGGTGAGCCACATGGCCAGCAGGGGGCAGGGCCAGCCCAGTCCAGAGGAGGGATTTAAGATAATTCTTGCACTGTAGACTCAGTGAGGGAAGCTCCTTACAGGCAGCTCACGCTCCCATTTTACACAGAAGAAACCTGAGGGAGGGAGGGAGGGCCCCGGGCCCATGTGAGAGCCTGGCAGGGCCGCTCCAGGGCCTGCGCTCTGGGCCTCACATCTTCCGAAGGGTCTTGAGACATCAGCTCGGATCTACAGCTGAATGATGTTCTGTCTCTCTCATGGGGGCAGCATGAGAGTGTGGGTTAAAAATATTAACCTCATGAAATCAAACAACTGAAAGATTCTGTATTTCCATTTTGGTCTTTCTTCTTTTTAAAAATGCTGATGCTTTGAGGAAATCAAGGGGCCAGGGCGAGCTCCATCTCTGGACTCTGGGCGTGGCCCCTGACGCCCAGCTCTGCCTGCACCCCGTGGGCCTCTTGCACACCCAGTGAGTGTGCCAGCTTCCCGGGAGGGTGCTGTGCTTTGTGCTCAGTCTAGGCGGTGCAGGGGCGGCCGGGGTCCCTCAGTCCTGAGGGCCAGGTTGCTCCCTGTTTCAGGAGCCCCGGGCTGCACAGGCCTTCAGACACGTCTTCCCACAGAGACCCGCCACCCCTTCCCCACCCTCAGCCCCTATAGAACAGTCCCCAGGCTCACCTGGTGGGGGACAGGCAGCCTGGACAGCGGGCTGAGGCCCAGCAGCGGGGTGGTGGCCATGGCAGCAGTGGCAGCCATGGCTGAGGAGGCGGCCAGAGGGTCCACAGGCAGCTCCGGGCTCTGCTCCTGCTTCACCATGATGGAGCACAGCTTGTGTCCCAGCACCCAGGCTCCACGCTCCACATCTGGGGGAGGGGGCAGGACACAGACTCAGGGACTCCAGGGGCACAGGGCTGAGCCCCGCTCCTGTCTCCTGGGAGCCAGAAGTGGGGGCATCTTCTTCATTCAGCATCTTATAGACAGGGCTTGGCCAACAGACCTGGACACCTTCTGACTGGCTGTGTGACCTTAGGCAAGTTGTTTAACCTCTCTGAGCCTTAGCTTTCTCATCTGTAGAAGTGCCTGTTCAGAAGTAAACCTTCAATACACAGTAGCTATGGTCAGTTGCTACACTGATTGTTATTCAGTAAACATTTGCTGAGCACTGTGCTCGGTGCTGGGCACCTAGTGAGAGTCAGAAGCACTTTAGCGCAGTTGGAATGGGAAGGAAATGGGGTCAGAGAGGCCAGCAGAGGTGGCATTGTCTTGGTGACTGCGCTCAGAGCTGTGACTTCGTCCTGAAGGCATTGAGGTGGCACTGAAGAGTTTTACGTGTGCTCTCAGATTTGCAGAGCTGGAAAACCGTCACTCTGCCTCTGTGTGGAGGCTAGACCGGGGCAGGCAGGGTGGAGGCGGGGAAACCGTAGGGGTCTGTTGAAGTCGTCCCGCTAGAAGGAGAAGGTGAGGCCTGAGCAAAGGCGGTGGGGCGGAGATGGAGAGGATGGAACACACTGGAGACATTTAGAAGGGAGAATTCGTAGGACCTGGTAACTGGGGGCTTGGGAGTGGGGGCGATGGGTGATGCTCAGGTCTTCCTATCTAGCATCCACCTCCTGGCCTCACCTGGGCCACAGGGCTGGAAGACATCACCCCTTTTCCTGCTGGGTGCCCACAGTCCTCCACCCCAGCTCGTGGTGGCCCCAGCACCTGAAAGCCAGAGAAGCACTGGTAAGGCAGGGGCCTGGGAAGCCAGCTTGCAAGGGAAGAGCCACAGGGGACCCTGGACTTCAGGACCCACTGTGGGTGGGGAGAGGGGTCAACGGTTGCCTGGTCCCACCTCAAAGGCCAGACCCCACCCTGCTGGGAGCCTGAGTGCCCAGCTCTGGGCCACAGGCTGCCCTTGGGCTCCAGGAACACCCACAATCTTCCCAAATTACAGGGCCAGCCCGCTGGCCTCCGGGAAGCTGCCCCCTGCAAAGGACCCACAAACAAATTAAAAATAGATTGGGGGTGTCCAAGGAGTTGCTGGGCTGGAAATGTGGGGGTGGGGGGAGAACCCGCCCTGGGAGGGAGGCCATCCCACACCCCCGCTCTCCCCCCGGCCGCTCCCTGAGGTCTCACTCAGGCAACCTCAGAGCTCTTAGCTGAGGCCAGGGCATGAAGGGAAGCTGAGACCTCAGCAACCACAAGTCCTGGAACCATTTAAAACCCTAAGAGGTGTCCCTGCCCTGAGGGATGGGGTTCGGGAGCAGGTACAAAGGCCAGTCTCTGGCCCAGGGAACCTCTAAAACCCTCAGAAGCAGTTCACACTTTGCACACTGAGCCCAGCTCTGAGCCCCCGCACACGTGAATTCACTTATTCCTTCCAAAAATCCTGTGGGGCAGGCACTACTGTTTTCCCATTTCATAGATGAGAATATTAAGAAAATCACTCAAGACCATTGTCCTCTGAGGGGAAAGAGGAATAAAAACCACTACAGTATGAATAGGATTTTATAGGCACAATGAAAATAGCCACTAATTATTGATATATATTGTGTGCTGGGCGCTGAGCATGGTACTTTACATATTTTTAGCTCTGTCTGTATTCTTGAGCCACGTGCTATCTTTATTTTATAAATGAGGAATCAGAAGCCCAGGGAGGTTAAGAGACTTGTCCAGGATCACACAGAAGCTGGTGGAAGAGAGAAGACACGCACTGAATGAAGCCTGCGTGGTTCCCCGCCCAGTGCCCCTTGCTGCCCCCTTGTGGCCGGTGAATGTGGTGGCCGCGGTCCTACGTGCATTTTACTGTGCGTGACCAGAACAACTCAGCTTTCCTGAATTCTCATTTTCCTCCTCATCAGACAAGATTAGGATAAATGGGATTCCTACCTCACCTATGAGTTGTGGAAAACGGATGAGTAGTTAGCATGGGAGTACTCTGCAAACTGGAGAGTGCTGTGGAAATGCCGACTGCTGTTCCCACTGGTCAGTGAAGACGTGAGGCTGATGAGGCTGGGAGGTGGGTCCCCGATCACCCAGCCAAGCACAATGGGGCCAGGGTCGCCCGTTTGAGGAAATGGCCAAAGGGACCATTTCCAGGTGGGGCACAGTCTTGAGCTCTCGAGCGTTGATGATGTGAGAGAAAAGACTCAAAGGGCCCTTTCCTTAAAATCAAGGGAGGTGGAGGGACAGGGGAGCTTTAGAGAATGCCACCTTCAGGAATAAAAGTAGGCGCAGGAGTCTCTCCCAGGTGGTATCTCGGAGGACCTCACAGTAGGAGGACCTCACAGTACGAGCAGGTGGGAAGGTTCCATGTAGAGTCTTGGTAACTTGTGCACGTTTACCGTTTAATTCCCCTCACCATTCCCTCTAAGTCAGGGGCTCCCAGACCCTGGTGTGCTTCAGAATCCCCTGGAAGGCTGAGCGCTACCCACAGGGTGTCCGATCCAGCAGGCCCCGGGGGCACCTGGGAATGTGCATGTCTAACGAGTTCCCAGGTGATGCCGCTGGTCTGGGAACCACCCTTTGCACAGCACTGACCAAAGTCAGCAACAGGCTCTTGACAAGTGCCCGCGTGGGTTTGATTGGAGGGAAACAAAAAAGCAGGAAGCAGAGTCGCCGAGGGGTGTCTGTGGGTGGCTCCCGGGGGGCCTCTGAGAGTCTCAGCCTCCAGTACACTGCCACCCTCCCCCTTAGCCCCTCAGTATCTTCCTTCTCTCCTGGGCCTTCTGGGCCTGTGTTGTCCCTGGGCCCTTCCAGCCTTTCTCACCTTGGGTGGTGTCCTCCATCTTGATGGGCACAAGGGGGCTCTGAGGCGCTGAATCACCGCTCAGGGAGTAGCTGTGCTCGGCCTGGATGCCTGGCGTCGGGGAGTCCAGTTCCATGTCCAGGAGAGGGCTCTTCTCATCCAGCACGGGGTCATCAAAGAAGCTGCTGAACAGGTCATTGGAGAAGTCCTCCATGTTCTCCGCGAAGTGGTCCAGGTGCTCAGGGAAGTGCTAGGGAAAGAGGAGGCGTGGGGGGCAGCTTAGCTGAGGAAGGGGGTACAGATGCTGCTATGGTGGCACCTCCAGCCCTGCCACCACGAGTCCACCTGCAGCAGCACCAGCCTCCCACTTCCCACATCACTCGTACAACTATTATCACTTCTATTAATAGCAGCACCACTGTCATGGGACCACCGCCACCTCCACTGCCACCTCCAGCTTTAATGTCGTTATCTCAAGGCTAAGCTGTGGATGGTGTGAAAGGACACCTGGGCCAGGTGACGGGATAGACACAGGGCTCTGGTTCCGGCTCAGTGACCTTGGTCACATCACTTTGATCGCCTGAGTCTTTCTCTCCGTCCACTTGACTTCCTTCAGGGAGGACCAATTAAAAGAATAATTATGTCTTTGTGACAGCATGGATGAACCTAGAGCGTATAATGCTAAGTGAAAAAAGCCCATCAAAGAAAGACAAATGTTGCATGATTTCTGTGATATGTGGGCTCTAATGAACAAAACAAACACACTAGAGACTCACAGACACTGACAGCTGTCAGAGGGGCAGGGGATTGGGGAGACTGGGTGAGAAAGGTGAAGGGATTAAGCAGCACAAATTGGTAATTGCAGAACAGCCACAGAGATGCAGGTTACAGCGTAGGGAATACATCTAGTCAATAGTATCGTGATAAATATGTCCGCAGCCAGGTGGGTACTTGAGACAGTAGGTGGGACTGTTCTGTAAAGTATGTGATTTTCTAATTGCTTTGCCGTACATATGACACTAATCCAGATTAATATTAAGTGTAAACTGTAATTGAAAAATACTTTTGCCCTGACTGGTGTAGCACAGTGGGTTGAGCGAGGGCCTGCGAACCAAACAACCACAGTTCGATTCCCAGTCAGGGCACATGCCTGGGTTGCAGGCCAGTTCTCGGCAGGGGACTCATGAGAGGCAACCATACATTGATTAAAAAGAAAGAAAGAAAGAGAGAAAGAGAGAGAGAGAGAGAGAGAGAGAGAGAGAGAAAGAAAGAAAGAAAGAAAAAAACTTTTTAGAAAAAGAAAAACAAAAACAAAAACCAATGTGTATGGCAGCCAGCGTGTACCCCTGTGGCAGTAGTAGTGACTTTTGTCTTTTTCACTGGGATCAAGGTGGCGGGGCCATGGAGGCCTCCACTTCCCTCGTCAGCACAGTCCCCACCGGTCCTCATGCCCCTGGCACCCCCCTTTTCTAAGCCAATTCTTTATTCCAGGAGATTAGGCTCTGGAGCCATGTTACGTGGGTTCGAAGCTTGGCCCCGAGACTTCTAGCTATGACTCAGTGCCATTCGAACTGCGGGTGTTGACTCGTTAACGAGTTGTGAAATCAATTTAATAGGTCATGACCAGAATACGAAAACAAGTAGAAGAGAACAAAGTAGAGTAGAAAATATCAGAGTGCACGGGACACGGAAAAGTTAAACACTTGGTGTACATTTGTGTCTCAGTTATGGGTGTGTGTTTGTTCTTGGCAAAGACACAGAATATATTAGAAACAAAATAGCGTGAAGAATATTGGTCCCCGAGACCCTGGGAAAGTTGATTAACCTGCCTGTGTTTCATTTCCTCCTTCATGCAGCGGGGACGAGAATAGTTCCCCTCTGCCAGGATATTGGGAGGGTTAAGCAAGCTGATGCAATTGACCCCTGAATGGCACGGGTCCACCTGCGTGGGTGCCCCGAAGGTGGATTTTTCTCATCTTGTAAACAGGGGATGTGGACTGATGGTGTTAATAACCGTACCGTAATGTATTTTCTCTTCTTAATAGCATTTTCTGTTCTCTAGCTAATTTTATTGTACAAATACAGTATATAATACGTATAACATACAGAATATGCGTTAACTGGCTGTTTATATTATATTAAAGCTTCTGGTCGACATCAGGCTATTGGTAGGTAAGTTTTGGGGGAGTCAACAGTGAGGGGTGGATTTTCTTTTTTTTTAATCCTCACCTGAGAATATGCCTTGTTGATTTCATTGATTTTTAAAATTTGATCTTTATTGTATTTTTTATTACCATTTAGTCCCCTTAAACCCCCCTCCCCAGCACTCACCCCTCTCCTGTCCATGTCCACGAGTCCTTTTTCCTCTTTGCTCAGTCCTGCCCCGCTAACTTCCTCCCCCATTCGCTGTCATCCTGCCCGCCATCTGTGGTCTGTCCCTTTTTGCTGTTAGTTCAGTTTGTTCATTAGATTCTACGTATGAGTGAACTCATATGGTTTTTATCTTTCTCTGACTATTTTATCGATTTTAGAAAGAGAGAAAGGGAGCAAGAGGGAAACACCTATGTGAGAGAGAAACCAGGGGTGAACCCACAACCCGGGTATGTGCCCTGAGCAGGGACAGAACCCGCAACCTTTTGGTGCACAGGACAACGCTCAACCAGCTGAGCCACCCGGCCAGGGCATACGCGCATTTTCAACTGCACAGGGGTGACTCTGCTAACTTCTGCATCGTTCAAGGGTCAACTTCACATGCAAAGAACTTAGAACAGTCCCTGGCACATAGTACTTATTCAGCAAATGTTACCTCTTATTATTAATAAAGCACCCAGTGGCTGGCACATGGTAGGCTTATTTTTTCTCTCTAAAGAGTTATAAATAGGTAAGGAAGTGTTACTGTTCTTTATTCATCATTTACTGGCTGAATGCATTTGATGGTGGGTTGGTGGGGGCGGGGCTTTGCATCCGGCCCTGGGGTCCCACCTGGTGAGTGGTTAAGAACTGGCTTCCGGGGAATTGATCCGAGGTCTGGAGTGGTTGGCTCTTTCCAGCACGGACTACTCAGAGCCTGTCCCCACCCAGAGGAATGAGCGGAAGAGCCCTGTCTGGGAATAAGGTTCTGGGCCACGCGGGCATCCGCCTGCAGGGAGCAGCGGGTGGGCAGGAGCTCTGTGGTCAGACACACTTCCTTGGACTCCTAGCTCCACTACTTGCTAAGTTACTTCCCTTCTCTGTGCCTCAGTTTCCCCCTCTCTTAGGGGGACAATAATAACACTCCTACCTCATAGTGTTATTGTCATCATGAGTCCCAAATATTTGTTAGACGCTGAATACTCACCTCGAAGGATTATAAGGATGAGTAAATACAAATAACATGTATACACATAACATACATACATATGCACATATATATATGCAGTAAATACATGTAACACTTAGAACAGTGCCTAGAATGTAGTGAGTGCTTGGTAACTGTTAGCCATCATTATTATGAAAAGCCTAACTTTGAGCCTCAAGGGAACTGAGCTTGGAGCCCATGGGGGAAGCTGGTTTGGCCTTTCCCCCCCAAAAAGCGTGATCACAGAATCCAGGACAGAATGAGTTCAGAAACCCCATTGATTCAGGAATTCTCTCCTCTCCTCTTCCTAATTTGCCAGAACTTACCATCATTATCCTACATTTTGTTGTGCCTTCTTATGAATTATTTTATTCCGTTGTCATGATTACCAAATGAGGTGAGGAAGTTGCATATCTGCATTAACAGGCAGGGAAACTGAGGCCCAGGGAGTCAAGTAGAACTGGGAATTGTGCGCAACTCCTCATTGTCCAGGCCTCCCCCGATTGCAGCAGACGTTCCCTTGTTCAGGAATTGCCTGTTTGCCAGACTGTAATGACTCTGGTCTTTATCTTGTTCACCTGATGGAGGGACAAGGCCCTGTACCCAGGACAATGACATCAGTATGTTGATTGTCCATCGGTGGATGCCTAGGTGGAGGCTTGGAGGTCAGAGGCCTCGGCTCAACAAGTCTCTAAGAATACCTGGGATGCCAGATGAAATCCATTTACAGGGTACAACCTTCCCCAACCATCCAGCCAGGGGCAGGCAGTTACTGTGCTAGCCACATGCTCTGTAGAGGCTGGGCCAGACCAGCTGGGGTCGCTTTGCCCATTCTCTCTCTCTCCCTCTCTCTCAGTCAGGCCTGGTGTGGGGCCCAATGGGAAGGGGTTACAAAGAGAGGACAGCGCAGTGAGTCAGCCACTAAGGTATTTCTCCAGCAGCTGCTTCTCAGGCGATAAGGGTTTGCCAAGCCTGTCCGTGAGGCCTGGGAGAGGAAGATGCTTCCTCTAGTCTGGGCTGGGGTCCCTGAAGGTCTTGGCTCCAGGTGGATGAGCCAGGTCCTTCTCAGAGACCCCTTTTGGGGTGCCCATTGGAACCTGCTGAGGGAGCTCAGAAGTCCCCCTTGTGTGAGCAGCCCCCACCGCACCTGCTGGAAACAGCAGCCAAGGCCACAGCAGGATGGAGCTTCCAGAGAGTGGGAGCCAAGTAGAAGGGGAGGGCGGCCAAGGGGCAGGCAGGGTGGGGGCGGAGGACACTCAGAAAATCCAGTCGTTCCTCCGGGTTTCCTTGTATGCTGGACGCCCCTCTGGTGGCAAAAATGGGCATGTCCCATCACCCCCAGGCCTCTCCTGCTCCCGGGAGCATGCCAGAGGGGCTTCCTTTAGAGAACTTTGTAGCCCTGAGTCTATCTGGTGCCTGGAACTCAGTTATGTTGGTTTTTGTTTTTATGTCATCGAGTCGGAGGCAGAAGGGACCTGAGAAAGCTCCTGGTCCACGCCCTCCTCCCCCATTTGCAAATGTGGAAATTGAGAGGCAGAGAGGGAAAGCCACCTACTCAGGGTCACACAGTGAAATGGCAATGTCGAGCGAGGGGTTCTTCGTACTTCTGGGGCCAACAGGATGTGGGGCATCTTCTTGTTGTCCCCTCACTTCTTTCTCTGGGTGCCCACCCCCCCCCCAACCCTGGAACCCCACTCTGGAGATCTGACTTCCCGCAGCTCCCCTTGTCCCACACCACCATCCCTCCCTCCCCGGCCACACCCAGCTCTGCCTCCAGTGTACACACACAAAATTTAGGTTTCAGACTATCCGATGGAAATTATTGGGGGGGGGGCAGGAATCTATAAATGGCAGGGGGTCGTGGGTCATCGCTTTAAGGGGGATCGGGTTCTAACCAGGGGTGAGCATTCTAC